GAGTCTCTGGAGCGGTCCCAATGCCCTTAAAAACTCATTACATGGGGCCGATTAATCTCTTTCGTTCGATCATCTCTCTCCATAACCCGTTAAATTTCTACCTTGCCCTCGAAGCGTTCGACCGTCCTTCCACCTCTTTGCCAAACCCGATGCAGACTCGAACCGCAGCCTTGCCTGCGATTGGACGAGTTTGCAGTGAATTAAATTCCAACTGAGAATTGACGTTATTTGAGAATGTTTCCTACTTCTCATGTGGAAACGTGAAACTACATCAATTCTCCAGCTACAACAATTCTAAAACCCTTGCTCAACGACCGACAAGAACGCACTACAAATGTAAGCGATTCTTCTAACGCTTCCTCTGAAAACAAATTCCCAAATACGCTCTCGTAGGTGTCAAGACGAAAAGAAGATTTCCTGAACTTTGGCCCACGTTAGTAAAAATTCGCCAACTCCTGCTGTAAATCTGTCTCCAGATGTTCGCCTAACTAGAAACGTTCACGCGCCACCGCGTCCCGGAAGAGGAATTCAGGCTGTTCCTCGCGAGGACGAAAATTTGCTTCGTCTGGCGACACGCGGTGAATTAAACCGCGAGGCAGACTTTGACAAACGAGGAGCAGAGTTCGCGCAAACGAGATTTTCGATAACGAATCGCCACTCCAGTTTTTCTGGTTTTGGCTCCTCGCGAGGACCGACGGCAATCAGCGGTAGAGACGGAGAAGGATGCGTTTGACCCCACGTAGGTCACGTGACGAGGCAAGATTGCTCTTTCGGGGGCATCGCGAGAATATGAAAAGCTCGCCGGCGAATTTATGCCTACGTCGGATGAAGCGCGCGTGATAAGTTGAGGGATCGTCCCGCGGGGACCACACGCGAAACCTTTCGTCCTTGACAACCATCTTGCGCCGCCTTCTTCCTAAGTCATTCGACGTATTTATTGCGGCTGTCGGTTCGCCTGGGTAGCTCGAATGTATCCATCCTGACCTCTCCGACGAGAAATTGCAGCCTATCAAACAAAAACCACGCACCGTGATCAAACAGCCAGTGCGTTTTGCCATGACTCATAAAGGCATCTTATATACATTGTTCGCGAGGTGCAAGAACACACCTATAAGGTGTCAAGAAATTATGTATAAAAACCATTTCAGCCAGATTATTCTACGCCTCTGGATCGGCGAAGATCTTTTAAAAATGTTTTGTACAAAATTCACCTTGACCATCGTTTTGAAGGTCAAAGTTTTTTATGACTGCATCTTGTTAACTTAAGTTCCGACCCATGGTTCCTTTTACAAGCTTAACGCTCGATGAGTAGAACACGACGCAGTCGCAAAAAACTTCGATCTTCAAAATGACGGTCAAGGTCAATTTTGCACCAAACACTTTCGACAGATCTTCGCCGATCTAGAGGTGTAGAATCCAGCTGCAAATGGTCTTTACACAGAATTTCTTGACACCCTGTACAAGAGCTGAGAAGCTTAAAGAGTAAGCAAGAAATAGTAGATTAGCGTAAAAAAAACGTAACGCTTCCCCTAGGAATCGCTAATCTGAGATGATCAGTGGTACTCACAAATTCTCCATTATATTAGAGAATTACTTCTTCTAACCCAAGGCACCTTCACTCTTCTTCGGTTCTTTCCTTCAGGAAGTCAACGATGCCGAAAGAAGACCGATGTCTAATTCTTCTCCGCCCTCGCGCCAAGGAAGTCGCGAGTATACTCAGTGGCTGCAGGCTGGAATTAATTTCAACAGTCAGCGGAGCTGGACAATAGAATGTAGGTTGTAAGTTTGAAGATGATTAGCGCGTCTCCTCGGGGAACGAAGCGAACCGCAAGAAGTCTCGTCCGTGTCGAAGCGTCAGCGCGAAGATTCGCGAGGAGACGGACGATACCAGCGGACAGAAGTGGTGCTTAGACGACCTACAGTTAGGTAACATATGGTAAAGCGACCATCTGTCCGGGAAGCCAGTGTTGGGAAAAGGACGTCCTCTTCGCTCCCTTTCTCTTATTCGCGAGACGGGACTGCCCCCCTCGGCGAGCAACAAGGTAGATAATTATGAACGATTGGTTCGAGTGCAGTTCTATCTGTTACCGTGGCGCGTTAATTTCAGCAACGACATGGATTTTGATTTGCCTTGGGATGGCGGTTTGTGGTCGGCGCGCAATTAAGCCGACAATGGTCGTTTCCGAGCAAAGATGTTGCTTGGAGTGGACATATAAGTCGAAGTGGACGTCAGAAGATCCAGGAACGTGGTCTTCTTATGGTCTTCCAACATTGTGGAATCTTGGTACTAATAATAGTAATATTAGTATAAAGTATATTATGCGAAGAAATAGCGGTGAACGCTCTGTTTGAATTTTGCTGAAGCATAATCACGTAGAACTGCTGCACCTGAAGCTTTTGGTAAGAATTGTGTGAATATATTGCAGTCATTTGTTGTATAACATATGTTGCTAATGCGATATGATTTACCTATCGAGGTCAAGTATGAGGAAGTGTGAAGAACATTCGACCAGAACCAGGTAACGTTCCGTTCGTGAGTCAAAGATCTATTCGAGACAAATTTAAACATTAGAGAAAACTTTTCAGAGATTTTATCAATTCCTGATAATTAGTTAAAAAAAAAAAATGTATTTTCCTGAGCAATTATCTAGGTCCACCCGTGATAAAAACATACGGAGCGCCATAAATCGGTGCAAAGATAATCATCGGTTGATCCCTCGGAGTTTCGTGCGACACGAATGCTCTCGTATTTCAAGAAATCATGGCGTGCGAATGATATCCAGCGGGCAGTAAAAGGTGACCGCTTTTTAATCAGAGACGCACGGAATTAGTTTGTCACTGCGCGATCATTTACGCGGAAAGTTAACGACGATCGCTCCTCGGTACTTAATCAATGAACGGTGCAGACTTTGCGCCTAATCGTAAATTAACAACGCAACGATCAGCCACTAATTTGCGCGTGCATCGTCTTGGTTAATTAACCGATCCAACCGGTAGACGAAGCTGAAGGGGTCTGGAATCTTGTCGTTCGCGTCAGAGTGTATGCGGGTTTCAACGTAACGCGACGTTTGATTGATGATCGATACAGTGATTTCTGTTTACTGTACATTAGGTACGCCTTTTATACTTACTCGTATAACCATGTCTCTTATCTAAATACTGGCCTATCGAGCTCCTGATTCGCTGACTCTCAAGGCCTGTTTCACGAGTCTGCGACTCGGCCGGCGATTCTGTCTAATAAAGTGTATAATAGACACGATGTAACATCGAAGAGAAAATTTGTATAGTTGTCCAATTTGTTACTAATTAAAGTGCATACCAAGCTCCTGTTTCGGTGACTCTCGAATCTCTAGGCCCGTCTCACGAGTCTACGACATGGCCCCCGCCATTCTGTCTAATAAAGTGAAAATTACAGGTTCTCAATTATTATTTTTACACGTGTTAGCGCGAACACACAGAACGAATCGGTAAATGGCTAGTGTGCATGGCGAGAGTATTCCTGACCATAATTTGCAAGGTTGCCAGTCTGAAGCTAGGGGGGGTTACCGTAAGCGTGACGAGGGAACAGGTTGCCGCGGCCAAGTTAACGAGTACGAATCTTTCGAAAATGTTACTTCTATTCCTGCTTACGGTCAAAGAGGCGCGAGTCAATTATTTCCTCGTCGAACATCGTGATATACTCAACCGCGTCGCGACGCAAATTAACCTTCACGGTGCTGACATTCGTCTTGGCGCGCGGATACGCGACTGAACGCTTGTTGGAACTCCCACAACATCGAAAAGGTTGAACGTAGGCGGCCATTGTACTCGAGAATCGTCCACAATTTTTAGATAAACTTCCACTCCCGTTTCTCAAGAAAATTCTGTAAATTCATCTTAGCTAAACTTCTCCCATCTGATTCCTTTCTTCCTTCTTTTAATTTTTCATATTTTTTCAAATTTATGGGGACTGTACGCTTATGTACACTGATGGGTACCCGTTTCGTAAATAAATAAAATTATATTCACACAAGTACAACTTATTTGAATTCAAATATATTTGCCGCTCCAGATGAAATTGATCGCTCCAGATATCGGTGGTCTGCAATGTTAAAGTTATGTAAAAGAGCATTTCGCGTAAAAGAGCGCGAAAGCAAGATTCTTTTCAACGAATTACGCTTTTTGGAATGGAAGATCGTGTGACACCTCGTGTTCGTTCGTGAGTTATTGGAAAACGCCTCCTTGGATGCTGCACAGCGTTCGAAACGTGGTCGCGTCATCAGAGATTCTCTGAATGTACGTTGTTTAGCAACGCGAAGACCGAGTAGGATCTTCTTATAATCTGCAATAATTCGAATTCAAATGTAATTCAACAACAAAAGGTAGATACAACTTATCATTGAAAAAGCAAGTAATGGTTGCAATGAAAAACATTCGACAGCGTGTAAACTTCACTTCCATACCATGATAAAAGTTTGCAGACACAGTATGTAAAATGGGCCAGCTTTCAATTCTATCGACTGTCTCGTGAACGCCGTGGCTAACATGAATGTCAGCGCGATATCTGGCCAATACTGATGATGCCAGTTGGAGAGCCACTGGCTTCTGTCCAAGACAGAGCTCTAAACGATGATTAACGAGTTAGAATAAGTCCCTTTCCGGTAAAGCAACAGTTAAGCCGTTGCTTAACACGTTGATTGACAGACTGATACTTGCCACGAGGCTATAATTTTATTTTCAGACAATAATTGGAAGAGTTACATTTCAGATTTATTGTTTCTCTTCATGGATGATGTGACGATCAACGTGTTAAAACAGCTTAATTGATCTTCAACCCCCCCGATTGACCGTTCACCGAATAGTTCAGCTCGTTTCCTAGCCAGCAGATGTACAACAGCTGAGAGACGGCGGCGTTTAGGTATATCCCGAATTTTATGATGTCCGAGTTCTGCCCTCCGACCTGCACCGAGCGATACAAATCGATCACGAACTGACCAACGTACACGACCATCATGTCTTACCACGATAGCCTGAAAACAGGTCAGGCAAATAATCGAGGTGCTCGAAAGCATCTGAACGAACATACTCAAGCTGTAGGTCTTGTTGAAATCGTTCGTCGCAACTACCAGTCGCTGATGGAACCGAAGACACTTCTTGTAACGACGCAGGAAACTATCGTCTGCTTTCTTCACGATGTACGAAGTGTCATCGTGATTACGTACTTTGCAAACTGTGTTGCTCTGTGGAGAAAAATGTGTATTGCAAAGGAATGAAAACGGGACTCATTGCTTCTCTATCAAGTAACTCTAGACGGAAATTACTCTTCTTTTTTCTATTATTAATTTTTACTGTACATTAGAAGCTAGTTCACAATTTAACTCAAAAAAAAAAAAAAAAAAAAAAAAAAAAATGCGAACAAATTATTTTCTGTTGTCGCTCACCACTTGTTCGATGCGGTTCTCGAAATTCACGTTGAGAATGTCGAACAGCATACTAAGCATACTGCATACTAGAGTCATCAGAGAGTCCATTGAAACAATCGCGATCAGACCGCCTGAAACAGCGACTGCTTCTACTGCGAAACCAACCAGGCGCCAGGGCGATGTGGTTGTGTCGAAGGGGTACATCGCTCTGATTGGTAAGCCATCTTCCATCGGGGAGAAAAATAACAGAGCGATCGCTAGGATAATTCCTACTCCGCTGAATCCGTGCAAGATTATTTGGTTACGTAAGTGGTACTTTTTGGTAATGTCTTTAATACAGTCGGTGTCTGAAATCAAATAACCCAACTAAGTGTTTTCAGGTCTTCTCTTTCAATGTGAATTATTAGTGCGTACGAGAAAGAGGTACTTACTTGAAAATTCGCACAGATCATCGGCGCACTTGAACGTGTCGTCCAACAACCGCATTATTTTCCCACGTCGGATTTGGTAATGCATGGCTTTGAAAGTAACAACAACCATTCCTGCCAAGATGCAACCGCCGTCGGTGGTGATCGCCATGTTGTCTATGTTCGACCAGATGTCTGCGAAGATGGTCATCATAAAGACGTACATCGTCGTCAGCATCAAAATTTTGCAACCAAAGTACGCCCATCGCAGAAACCGTGAATTACTTGGACTAATTTGCCAGAGACCGCAGGACCTGTGCAAACGAAAGGTAAACGTTTTCTTTTCGATACCACTATTTTATAAAAGTATATTGCACAAATCCCAAACACATTGCACGACTTTCACCTCAAGTAAGTAGTATGGAGATCTATCAGTTTTCGAAACGGATCTACGCACTCGTGGCCTGACACTGAAGCCATTGGTAGCTCGTTTTCCTAGGAGTCCAAGGAAAAACAGACCTCCATCGAAGGTATGATGTCTTTGGTGTCGTGTGAGTGCGATTCGCGTCATAGTGTGTACTTTGACACAACCCTGGCACGTTATCGGGTATTATTTCCGTTAAATCTTCATGGTACCTATCAAGAAAATTGAGGATAAACGGATGCGATTGCACGGTCGTTTTTCGGAATTATAGGCTTAGGTCATGTTGCATGTGTTCGGTTCCTTGGTCACTTCCGCGAATGTCGATAGAAGTGGCAGTAATTGCATACCGATAGACGAACGAAGGCACGGCTTACTACCCATTTACGCGAAGAATAGACGCGGTGCAAAACAGCGTGTACCGAAGAAATTGTTTTGAGTTGTAACTGAAACAGTTGTACCATGGCAGCAGATGAATGCCTGTCCCATTGACGTATAGCGTTCGAGTGATTTATGATACGGCTACTGTGTGTACTTTCAAAACGGAAAATGACCTGTGTGACTTGGAATTAGCTCGACAAAACATTTCACAGAATTAATATTTAAACGGTGTGCTTGTGTTTGAAGTAAAATAACTCTTCTACTCCAAAACCAATCTGATTAACGCTTGCGTTCCAAAATACCCATTTGTGAAGTCAAAAGTTTTCCTTCGATTACATTATATTATTTTGTTTATTTAATAAGAAACGAACTTTCGGTAACAAGAATCGAACCCGAGCCTCCTGGGTGAGAGCCAGGTATTTCTTCTTGTAATTTTGTAATACCTTATGTAAAGTGATTGTTACAACTTAATAATACGGCAACAAAATATAAATTTACGATATTAATACATTTTTCCAATCTCTAAAAATGGTTGATGTAATATTTACGTGATTTTACAAAATAAAAATAAATCGCCAGTACGAGGAGTCGAACACGCGACACTAATTCTATCTACGCATGACGGCGTAAAGAAGACATCGAACAATGAATTAATTTGTAAACAAACATAATTGTACTTAAAATAGCGCAAAAAGATTTGTCAGAAGTGGGATTCGAACCCACGCCCTCAGAGAGGACCAGAAAGCCCTAAGTGCTGCTCAGCTCTGAAAAGCTGAGAAGGAAGAAACCTTGAGTCTGGCGCCTTAGACCGCTCGGCCATCCTGACAGTTGATCTCAACATTTCTTAATGTACGTCATATGCTCCTCGTTAGGAGAGTGATACAATATACCTCACTATATACAATTCAATATTTTTCGAAAAATCTATTACAATGTCAAACACGTAACGAACGAATTTCGTTTAAATATATTACAAATGTTACAGATTAAAATAAAGTGAAGGAATATACTATTACTAAATAATACATATATGAGATCAATTGAAGTGAAACAGTTTGAAAAATTATGGAACGATATTTGAATAAAATTAATGTAATTATTAATATAATTTATAAGCATAAAATAATTATAAAAACAAAAAATGTTTCCGCCCGGGATCGAACCGGGGACCTTGTGCGTGTGAAGCACACGTGATAACCACTACACTACGGAAACTGTAATTTCGTACTTCATAAGTGCATTATAAAAAGTATCGAAAACATTACACATTTTTATACAAATTTTTTGTATGGAATATAAGTGTTACCTATTGCATAAAAGAACATATGCCGTGAAATGGTTCACAGTTTCGGATTGTAAATGTAAAACAATACTGCATTCGACATTGTACCTTTGCTTGGCTGATCTTGCGGAATTTTACGGATAGTCAACTCTCGACACGCTGTGAGTCCAAGAATTCTTTCTCACAAGTAAAATTTGAATAAGATCTAAGCTATAAAAAAAAACTACAACATAAAAAGATAACGTAGCACTACATACTGTAACAATTGCATTTTTACTGTATATATATATATATATATGTCTTTTAGTGATTATTATTTGAAAGGGAAATGGATTAATTTAGGGCTGTCGGATAATTTGAATATTCGAGCCGCGAACGATTAATCGATTAATGATTATTTTCATCATGATTACTTCGTTAATCAATTACAGAAGTGATACAAAAATAATCGATTACTACCGAAGGTAGATATCAAACCTCTATAATTTCGGTTTGAATTTCGTGTGAAGATAGATAGAAAATAAAATTACATTTATGTGCAGAAAATAGTAGAGAATTTGTATTTTGAATTTCATGTCGGTGGCGACATCTAACGGCGCGAGCCGCTTGTTTCTTTACAGTTCCGGAATGGTCGCTTTCGAACCAAACGGCCCGTTTTTTCTGAGCTTTCCAACAGGACTAATTAATACAACTAAGGTAATTTAACAGTAGAATAAAGGAAACAATGTGTTACAATAATCAAGTATTTATTTCTTTTCAAGTAAAAACGATTTTGCCAAAATTGTATAAATTATTCTATCAAATTAAAATGACATGCATATATACATATAACAAGTGGTCAATGTGTAAAAGACTGATATAATATATCAACATATTATCAGATCACATAAATTATTGTTCTTATTCTTACACCAAGAATTATAAAGTGTAATTTCCTAACTAGAATTTCTACCTATATAGATTGATAGGTAAAGTGTTAAAGTGATTTATTACATTACTATGGCATCATTGACAGTAGTGTAATACTAGCAAAAATAAATGCAGAGTATATTTCCGGTAAAAATTTATTTTTTTGTTTTATCACGATCAGTAGTTTTTTGTATTATCAGTTTATTTCTTTCCTTAGTCACTTTGGTTGTTGGACTTAGAGGACCTTGTATCATTGTTGGTGCTGTTATTGGTATCCTGCCCGAAGTAACTGGGCAAGGAGGTTTTAAACCTTTCGAATAAGCTTTAATTTGTGCTAATTGCTTTTTCAATATTTCATTTTCGCATTTGTATTTGACAAGTTCAGAATCTGTATCTAGTGTTTCATGTCCAGAACTACTTGTTTCTTCTGCAAAGTGTTTATACATGGCTTGTAATTTCTGCTCGTATTCTCTTATTACAAAAATGATTCTTTTCTCTGCTTCTAGTTTGGATTGTTTCAATGCATTAGTTAAAGCTTGTATTTGCCATTCTTGTGTTTCTATAACATTTTCTAAATCTGCAGTTTGAACTTCAAGGGTTTTTGAACTCTCCTTTAAATCAATCACTTTCAAAAAATATTTATAAAACAGGGTTTTCATTTCACCTTCTGATAGTTTTGCCAATCTTTCCATCAACATTCTCTCTCCTTTCTCACGTTGTGATTGATTTTCATCAAAACAATTTCTTCCACAGATCATTTCATTCTTATGTTCAATCATGGCATCAATAGCTTCAATAGTTTCTCCACATTCCAGTAATTTTCGTTCTTCTACAGTAGATAAAGTTTTTTCTTTCTGAAATTTCTCATCCAAATCACATTTTTCATCTATTAAACAATCTCTTATACGTCTTAAGTTTCGAATTTCATGCCGTAAAGCTTCCTTTTCATCTATATCTGCTGTTCTTTCTAAATCTATGGATTTTTCTTTTAACACATGATCAAGATGTAATATTCTTGCACTGACATCTAATAAATTTTTTTCTTTATCAGGATGATCAGTTTTTGAAATATTATTCACTTTTCCACCTTTGCTTTCTGCTTGCAATTCTTTCAGTTTAGAGGCAGTTAAATTGTATTTTCTTTGAAGTTCATGAATCTTCTTTTGATCTTCTGCAAGTTCCTCTTCTAATTGTTCTTTACGTTTTTCTTCTTTCTTCAACTGTTCCTTCAGATTTTTCATTTGTTTGTTATTGTCAATTAAAGAATGAGTAATTCTGCGTTGTTTATTCAAAGAATCATAAGCAGTATCCTTTATCATCTCAATATTTTTTAATCTTTCTTGATATTGGACCACCTTGTCTTTGACTACATCCTCTTTTTTCTCATGTGTAGACTTAGTTTTTGAATGTACATTTTTTGGGGATGATTGAGTTTTTACGCAAGAACATTTTTTTTCTAATTCACTCTGTTTGCGATGAGTTTTGTCTATCACTACCCCAAGTAAATCTAGGTTCTTTGGCAAATCTGTAGATATGCGCATTTTAATTTTCATGGTTGTTTCAAGCTCTTTTATATTTTTACGAGCACCATCTAATTCCAATTGAATTTTCTTTACTTCTGATTGTTTTGCTTCATTGTTCAATATTAAGGTTTTTAATTCCTTTACAGGTTCAGGTACTTTCTCTGTATCGAGAACATCAATCAATAAATCAGGTGAATTTTCACTAAGAGGTGTAAGAGTTTTAGTAATACTTGTTTCAGGATCATGATTATCCATATTATCTGTAGTAGCAAACTCTGAGGTCTCATTGTGCAACATTTGATTATGATTGGGGTTAAGGCTATCATTAAAAGCTATTATTCCGTTGCACATTTCAGATCCAGGAAGCATAGAATTTCTTCTAGAGTTTGGATTTCTAAGTGGAACAGGTTTTGGTAAGACATTAGTATCAGTGATACTCATAGATTCAACTGTTGATATAGTATAATCAATATCAGTTCTTCTAAAGTTATCTTCTTTATCCTCTCGGTATTTAATTAATTTGTCTGTTTCTATTTTAAATATATTCATATATTCATCCAATTTGTCTAAAAACTCAAAATTTTCTTCTTTCTTTGAACTTGTGTCACTGTCGTCATCCTCCTCTCCTTCTTCATAATCTTCTTCATCAAACTCCTCCTCATCTTCATCTGTTAGTTCATTTTCAATGTTAATATAATCAGATAGTTCACTTTCCGAACTTGATGAACTGATCGAAACCATTTCTCTCTTCATTTTACGAGCAAATTCGTGTTTTATCATTTTACCAGTTTAGATTGTCTTTTTCACTTTGCAATGAAAAAAATCTCACATTGCATTCCTATCAAGTTAAAACTTGTATTCTTATGTTCTAAGAACCTCTAAACGAATACGTTTTACAATACTTCTGCGTAAGAATATTGCATTAAGGTACAAATGTATTTCTCATACCACTTTGCAACACCGCAGATGGTAGAACGCAAAACAAGAATAACCACACTTTTCGTTGGACGTATTCAAACTTTGTCCTAATCTACTCGAAATTCTTCGAGTTCGAAAATTACAACAACAATTTCGTGATTTGTTTCATTACGGTGCTTTTCTTTTACATTTTAAATAATACACGCAATTAATCCGATGTGTTCAAATTCAAACACATTCGACAACAAGTTTTTCAAAGTTTTGTGTTCGCTAAGTAATACAAATATTCATCAGAAGTCGTTGCCAACATAATGGCAATGAAAATTATTTGATGAAGAGAAATTGCCGACGTTGGCCATCCTTGCAGTCTAAGATCAGTTTACAGTAAAAAACTTTATTATTTATATTAAAATAGTATAAAGTAATAAAAACAATATATTGTACGAATAAAATAATATTTTGAAGATTCAAAATATTATTAAAAACTATCGGGGTTCGATTTGATCTTTAAATTTGGCGCCGATTTGTCCAGTTTCGCGCCTGAGCTCAGTAATTGGTCGCTCGGTGTTGGCAGAATTGTATCAGAGTCGTTAGCATTAGTCGTTTTGGTCATGTTAACACGATCGTTGACAGACTGTCCTGTGTTTTTCATCGTTTCTACTTTAAATACGCTGAATCAGAATCACAAAGTAGTGTTATAAGATAATCGATACTCGTATAATAAGTTATGTGGAACATTTACCTCGCGGCGAATACAACTAGTTAATATTTTGTGGTGTTCAATTATAACCTCTACTTCACTGGAGACGTCTACTTCACTCAAAATTTTCAGAATCTAAATATAAGTAAGTGTTGCAATACATTATGTTCCTGTACATTTACCTTCGCAAACAGATTTTCTAATAAACGTTAAGATGTCATTAGAATTCATTAAAATTTGTGTCTTATCACAATTCCGAGAAGCAGTTCGTTGACGCGTCAGACTTTTACGTCATGATCATATTTTGCACATTTTTTTGTTTAAAGCAAAACACATGTTTTCACGTGGTCCTACTTCTTCTTATTGCATAATTAAATGCTTATATAATCGAAATTATCTATGATTTAAAAAAAAAAAAAAAAGTTGTACCAAAGAAATATAAACAGCTTTCAAATCGGAGTACTCGAATATTTAGCGATATATTATAATTTACGATGCAGGACAGAAAGTTTGAAAAAAGTACGTTCATAAAAGGTTATTTAGGGTTCCGTAATAGTTGTGCATCGGTATTTATTATTAATAACATTATAATTTAGTCCATTTATTTAACTAGAACGTGTTCCATTTCGTTCGTATAGAAAATACATTTTTATGTAATATTTCCTATAAATATACGCAATGATTTTTATAATACAAAAATCTGCAAAAAATTGCAATAATTGAAGTTTCTTTCGTAATTCTGCGTGCTATGCAAAATATTTTTGTTAGAAGGAGTGATTGTACGCATTACACTAGAAATAATCTTTTGTTTGTTTTTTGGTTAGCTCTTTAAGACCAGCCTTCCGCTACTTGTGCGACACGTTATTTCTCTCTTAGATGTTTATCTACACTGGATCATAAGAATCGCAAATTATTGACGTAATGAAACGTGCGATTGATAGCTAATGACTAACAATTTAATATGTTTATGATTTCGGAAGGTGTTGCTATAACCGGATCAAAGTACACTATTCATTCAAACTCGTTTTCTCGAGTATGAATCACACTGGGAACACCTCAATGGCCTTGAGTTTTGTGTTTTACGTATTTTTAAACTTAATTATCTCAAGCACGAAGGCTCGTGCGAAAAATGTCACTTCTCCGATTTTCATTGAATTTTCTCCGAGTTGATCACTTGCGTACACGAATTGCTTTATTATGCAAATTGCATTTTCGGTATTAACAAATTGACGCGCATTAAAAAAATCTAATGATTAATATTAAATGATAGCGCATCTACTCCAGGACTTTCACGAGTACGGTTTCTTTTTTTTTTTTATTTTTCGTGGTATGTTCTAACAAAGTCAACAGGTTTACTATAATTCAGCAGTCGTTAAATGTGATCCGTGTATTTCGTTCAATCACGTAAATGTTACGTAAGACGTGTAACGGTTTAAAAATTGTAACTCCGTGCATTTCACGCGTATCCAGATTAAATTGATATTACATCGTTGCGTCCAGCGAGATCCATTTGCACGTTTCGTCGAATTACGTGGAAGTAATTTAATTCGCTGTTGAAATAGGGGGCACGGTTTCACTCGACGTTTTCCAATACGTGTTTCGTGAAAAATATCAAGTCATCATTGAAAGGGATACTAGATCAATTTTGCACATTTTTCGTTACAGGCTGTTTCAATTGATTAACTATTTTTACACAGAAATTTCAAAAGGTACGAAAGGAACAATAATTGAATTCTAATTAAGGGCTTTACCAAAAGTATTATTTATTTACACTGTACCATTCCATATAATCTATAACAGAAAATTTACAAGTAATATTAGAAAAGAAAAACTGTATCCGATACCCTGGTACGATGTAACAAAGTTATCGATAGGGACTAACGCATTTCAGGCTTCGAACTTCCTAGACACGGCTCTTTGTAAACGAGCGCACATCGTTAGCCTCCGTTACTTAACATTCGTTCAACTTTCTATTCGCACACGAGCACTTTCCTGCTCATTTGTCCGTGGCACTTTGTGTTCGAACGTGTGTGCATCCGCGAACAGGTTGGCACCTTTGTGGTATGCGATCCAATTGAATTCTTTATACTTTGATCAGGTATCTCATTTAATAAATGTCTTCAGTCTTAAATTCATTAGTTGGAAGTATAAACAATTGAAATAAATCGTTATACCATAGGATGAGGATCCTACTTCAAAGTTTTGACCCTTAACTTCACGATGTTTATTTATAGATTGAAATGGGTCATCCGGTTAGGTGAAAGGTATCGATGATCCATAGGCTCATATTTATGTAATATAATATTAAACAAGCATACCGCATAATCCTTTCTTAAATTTTAATGAAATTTTGTCTAATTGTTGTTTCAGGAATTATGGAGAAAAATATGGCGAGTGGGAGTACCACGCAACCCACGGCACCTCCGCCATCAGCACCACCTTCGTATGAAGAGGCTGTTGCGAATATAGCGAGCCCACCACCCCAGTCAAATATTCCACCGTATCCAGTAGGACCACCTGTTATGCCTGTACCAACATGTAATCATCCCTTTTATAATATTTACTAACTCTTATCGGTCGTGGTTTTAGTTTGAAACGTTCGTTTCGCTAACAAATCGCCACAGGAGATCACCACAAGAATTTGTAAACCTTCTTCGAGAACGAATAAATATATTAGGTTGTCCCGAAAGTTTCTTTCGTTTTATTAATAATTAATATATACACAATATTTTATGTTTTATGTTACATTACTGAATTGTGTACGATTCATTTCGCTTCATTACTGTTACAGCATCAATGTCTAAGAAATTAAATTGTCTATTTATATAAACACGGCCACAGAAAATAATTGAGTGCAACTCACGAAAGAAACTTTTGGGACAACCTAATATAAGCAAAATGATAGATTAAAATACTTCGTAGTTTCTTAAAAAAAAAATATATATATACAAGTATTGTACCTATTTTTGTCTCGAGAAACAAGGAACACCAGCTCTTTGACGGAGAGGACACGATTGATCTAACCTGTTGATCTAATGTTACAGTTCCTCCGACCCAAACGACGGCGGTATTCTCGCCGAATTACCCAGGAGCAGTCCCAGCCAACGTGCCACACCTGCAACACCAGACACATTATACTGCTAATTATCAGCCTGTGACGGTCGTGCTGGGCCGGAATCCCGTGAAAATGACCTGCCCGAAGTGTCACCAAAGCATTAAGACCACCATTATATCGGACCATCAGCCGAGCGCTCACATTTGCTGCATTGTACTCTGCTTACTTGGGTGAGTGACTTCGTTCTTTTAATCGTTGCTTGTTTATTCATTTAATCCTTGCTTGTTCATTTCTTAATCTTGTATTTTGGATTTACTTCCGCATTAATCCGATCCACTATATCCACGAAAACGAAACCGCGCTGGTGTAACCCTTTCGCTCATAGCTGGTTTAATTTAGCATCAAAAATGTATCGAATGTGTGAAGAATTTAAGTCCATACTTCCATGGGTTCTGAATAGGACTTATTTTCACATTTTGTCAGGAAAATGCTTTTAAGAGCTGGCAGCATCCAAGTAGCCTATACGCTCTTCATCCACACTTAGTTAATATAGAGCTTCGCTAAGGTCAAACACCTGACTCTTTCATAGGGTTGCACGTTGGTGTATTCTTTATACATTTATTGATTTCTATTAGTTCCCGTTCCACTCTGACCCGATTTCCCTCAAAGCATGGCTGATGATAACACCTGTGTTCGTTATAGTCGGATGAAACTCAATTGACCGCTCAAGGCCATTTCTCCAGGTCGGAATCAACCTCTCCTATTAGGTCACGTTAATATATCTCTCTGAGATGTAGAGTTGTAGGCGTTAGCTAAATAGTATGACTTGAACATCTGTTTCTATTGATAGACTGATTGATCATCGGAGGTCAATAACTGAGGTTGACGGGAGGGTTTTTTTTTCTTCTATTATTCTTATCTAATTTAACGATTCTTCGTACTCGATGAAGCTTGTAATTAGTAAAGTAAATATTCGGTGTTCACAAATCTCAGACATGGAGGTTTTCTTTGTTTTAATGGGAGAAGGGTGATTTCCAAGAAGTTTGGAAACTATTGGGAGTAAAATCGTTTTGGAGCCTTGAATGTCCAGTTGCTGTTGCATCCTGTGTGTGTGCGTGTGTGGCCTGTTATCAGTTTCAACGAGTCGATTTTTCTGACCGATGGCGTTTCTATTTCAGATGTTGCCTTTGTTCGTGTCTGCCATATTGCATGAGCAGTTTCATGAACGTCCATCACATTTGCCCGAATTGTAAGCAGTATATCGGTAGGTGGAAGGGTTGAATCTAACTCGACGCGGGGATTATTTGTATATTGTTTACGGTTTTATATGTAATCAGGCACAGTGTTGTAATGTTACTAAGAGTATCCGATATGTCTTTGTTTGTCGCGTATTATCGAGTTAACCTTCTATTGCATAGTATATCCCATTGGGAGCGCGATAAAAAATATTTGCGTAAAGCTCGTTAAGAAGACTTCACGAGCTCAGCCATTTATTACTTAGCTTAAGTATGAATTCCATCGCGGAAGTATAGATAACCGAGAAATTGTTTATTTACAAGTCAGAGAAACTCGAATAAAATTTATGCAATAGAGAGTCAACGTTTCGACGGCCGTGTGTTTTCGGGCGACGCACGGCACCGCCCACTTCCGTCAGTTAAGATCTATATTATTCGTTGGTTCTTGAAATATCATTGCTGGATAATGAATCTTCCGGAACGTCTCGCCACGTGACCGCTATCCGAATCGGTTCGTCATCGCCAATTTTGTTCCCCACTCGGTAGCGTCACGCATATCTGATAACGAATTAGCACATAATTCTCGTTATCTTTAGTGAGTTTTCTTAGAACATGTTTTGGAATTTTGTTTTTACATGATATCGAGAACTGCTTTTGCACAAAATTCAGCACAGAACTGTCGAGAGTCGGAACACATTTCGAAGACTGAGAAATTCTGCACAGTCTAGCCAGGAGGATTAATTTTACGACAACAAAGATAAAGGAATGTTGTACCGAATTACAATTCAGCGCGTGGCTCGAAATAAATACGAGGATGGATTGCATTCCTGCACAGTGATGGGCAAAATTCTTATCTGTATAGTGATTTCGAACAACGAATAAAGTGTTCGCAATTTTTTATTCGTTATTCGCTAGACGAATACCAGTATTTGAATGATAAAATTGAATTATATTTCACGTCGAATGATTCGAATGATTGAATTATTCGTCATCTATCATTCGAAAAAAAATTTTGCCCATTTCTGTTTCTGGGATTACACGTCGGCCAACAATAGAGTTAAGGAACAACTCTACGAGATTGTCATAGATTGTATCAGAAACACTATGACGCTTATTCCTTGTGAAGTAATACGAATGCAACGTATGAGCCGTTCTTTATGAAACAGTTATCATCATAAACAATGAAAACATGTAGCAGCCGAAAAACGATCGAAATATCAACGTTAAATTAAAGTATCTACATTATTTAAATTCCTTTAAAAAGGTAAGGTTCTACCTTTGTCTCGAGGAAAGTAAAATATATTACATAAAGACTATGAAAGTAGAAAGATGATTGGGCTTGGATTACTTTCATAATCAACAGCTCATATAACGAGTGATGGTTAGGATGATTATTAATTCCATATTTGAGTCGAGTTAAGTGGGCGCGCGCGCGTCTGTATGTGTGTCTGTATGTGTGTGTGTGCGTGTCGTGTGCAGGTAAAATTAGATAATATTATAAGGGTATTTTCGAGCGTTGTGTTTGAGAACAGCGTTGTTCTTACGTGCATTTATTGTATTCCATAGCTTTAGGAAAATTTTATCTCGAAGGAAAGAGATTTTACACGACGAGGTTTATATTCGTTAACTCTTTCTGGGATGCTTGATCGTTTATTGCTTAAAATGGGAATGGAAGAACGATTCCTGGTCGATTTGGATGAAATTAATGCGAGGACCACTTTGCTTGATGGCTGGATAACGATGTTCGGGACGTAACGTAGACATACGTTGTTCTTTTCGAATTTAATTCACCATTCCATGTTAATGTCTTCCGTTGGAGTTACCGTATTTTGCTAGCTACTACTAATAGAACTTAGGATATTCAGGATTGGGTTACGTCGAGGTATTTCAGATTTTCCATAGCTTCGAACAACCAGATGATTATTTATTTGGGCTATAGTATCATGCGGGAGTGCACGCATGTATAATGGGGGACAACGAAAGAATCGATTTGGTAGCATTCATGAATCTGTTTCTTGTTGAGAGTTCTACCTTTTAAATGTAAACCTTGGGTATTGAATTCATTGATACTAATAGGCGATAGTACCGTAGTATCCGCGCCTCCCATACCCAACAACAAGGAGTCAAACGAAAACACGAAACGTAGGGTACGGGATTGGTCGCGTAGTTAAAGCGGTTGACTGTGGATCCGAGGATCGTGGGTTCGAATCCCCGTGCCTTATTTTTCGTTTAGACTCCTACAGTACTAATATGCCTATACTTTCGTTGACTCCATTATGATTGTATACGAAGAGTGACAAATGTGTCACACAACAAGTGTTGTACACACAATGTATGTTTTGAGACTGACAATTTATCATTGGCAGCTGAGAAGAATGCCTGTGAGCGTTATACTTTGTTCAAATGATTGTATCCACCCTGCTAAAGATATATCTCCGATAGAATCATTTGAAACGAATCACTGTTATTATAAGCAAAGATGGTCATAACACGTCCACTGTCCTTATAAGTAGAAAGAGGCGAGACTTTGGACAAGCCATAAGCCTCCGAGTCAATGCTATCCTAACCCGCGCGTAGGTCAGAGAACAGCGAACGAGTTGAAGAGCTCCTGGAGTCGTTTCTTCCAATGTTTATTGCTTCTTCCAATGAATTTCCGTTTTCGAAGAAAGAGAAAGGGAACGATTACCCAAGGGAGATAGAACGAAAGAGAATGAAAGTTGCATCCTGTTCGCAACAGTGTTCGCGTATTATTATTTTTGTAAAACGAAGTAGCGATTGGTCGTTCACTAGGATTGAATCGTTCGTGTCTACGCGACCGTAGGAATTCTGTTTCGTTCCACGGGACCCTGTGTACGAGGACGCGCATGTTTATTGGTGCTTCCGCGAGTTTCGATGAAATGTGTCCCAGCATATCGTAACGCGTAAATAGTTCCGAGACAGATGATATTTTTGTGCGAAGATTTGCTTGATGAGCAACGTCCGAATTATGTTGGGATGTTAGAGTTTACTCGATTTACCTGTTTCTCTTTTTCATTCGCCCTGGAACGATATTTTGTTCCTTCATTAAAAGGCGAGATTCGCAAGAAACGTTTTTCGTAGATGGGATCTAAAGAGAAAAGAAATATTTTTGTTTGTGTAGATATGTTCAAACGTTTATTAATTTTATTGGATTCGGCGAAACATTTTCAATTGACGTGCTTTGTTCAACGATTTACACGGTGAAGACTATGACACCAGAATTTTTGTATCTTATATGTATAATACATATATATTTTCAGTCGTGCTTTATGCGATAAAACTTTAATACCAGAATTTATTTAAATCAGTTTTTACCTTTTCTTTCCGTGTCCTCGTAGCGTGTATAACGGTAGGCAGTATACGCTCGTATGTGCATTAAATGTATGATATTTTTCTTGTACGTGTTTGACATAATGAAATATACGTTCGTTTTAAAGTGTGCGTGTGCAAGTCTGCGTAAACGATGGCTGAATTTTATTGTAGTCAATTGTAATGTATCGTGTCAGAAGTGAGACGAAATTGCAACGTAGACTACCTTTACGCAGGGGCTCAAAGTATTATTCTTATCGCGGCATTGACAAACTAGCTTAGTCGAATGATCATGGATTATCAATAAAGTGCTTTTCAATTGTCGTTTATTTTATTTTAATAGGCATACAAGATATCGAACAGATCCGAGTATATACTTCGTTCGTATTGAAAAAGGTTGGTTTATATTTTAATAGTTGAAAAAATTCCGTACACTACATAACAGTATTCTCGATTGCTCCTCGGGAAGATATTAACTCGAGCAGTTGACGAGTTTTCGCTATACGCGGTTTAGACGTCGACAGGCGTTTTACATCCTGTCCGCGTCTTCTACGTTAATCGACGTTACAAAACATCTACAATTAATATTGAAACGTTCTCGTCAACGGCATTAATAACAGATTTATCGTTACTCAAGAGCACTTGTTCGTCCTGTGCACGTATTATAATGATAAGTACAAATGAAATGTATATATGTATTTCAAACACGAGACTTGTATCGAGCATTGTATACGTTCTGACAAAAAGACGAAGAAGCCGGAGGTGTTGATACACTTCACAGGACACCATGTCTCTCTATAAAGAATATTATAAAGTTCAGGAAGGAAAATAACGTCTAAGTGGAAGATGACGACGAATCAGTACCTCGGTTTCCTCGTCTCTTACTTTTTTTTCTAACTGTTCTACACAAGAGTGTCTAGCAAGTCACCATTTGGGAGAAATTGCTGTTGAGCGACAGAGGAGTACTCCATGTCGATCGGTTTGGTGTCATCGTAAAGCGACGGAGCCTCGCACAGGATGACGATCGTGCCGACGAAGGAGGCTATCGAGAAAATCCAGAGGAAGAGTCGGTCCAGAACCATCGCCACGAAGCCCCAGTCCTGGTCTTCCTGTTGTACGATCACGGTTAATTACAAATCCAAACTATAAATCAGAATAACCGATACTTATGATGGCGACATTCACCGCATTGAATTCGTCTTGACGTTGGATATGGTGTTGAATGAACATCACATTGTGCAAAGCTTTCTCGAGCTCGAAGGGATACTTCTTCTTCGGGGTGACGTCGCTCAACGATTCATCCAGGCCGGACATCACCGTTGGAAGCCCGTTGTATCCGCCTATACCTCCCAGAAATCTGTTATGCGCGGTCGTAGTGTGCAAGCCGTTGCATCCTGAAAACGAGCGATTCTTATTTATGCTTGGTAAACGTGCTATCTCATGGATCTTCGCTAACGTCCATCTGTTCTTTGATATCGAGGCAAAGGGCACACCAAGAAGAGACAAAAGGATAAAGATCTGAAAAATGACAACGTCTCAGCTACGTGAGCTGAACGGTGACCGTGACTCGACCTGGTCCAGGATTTATTTTGCTCAAATCTTCATCTATCGTTGCTTGCAACTTTGTACGCGTAACAAAAGTTTATCGCCAGTACGTACCACCAATCCGTTGATGTTGCGCAGAATCTGGCGATGACACTATTGAGGAAGATTGCAAAGCGGCCGCGACAGCGGCGTTGAACTTGTTCTTTTTGCCAGATTTTCTCCTCCCGTATATCTTGTGCGCGGCGAGGTCGTTGAGGAGGTCGTCGGGCACCCGCATCAGCAGCACTTTCGGTAATCTTCGTATGAAGAACTTTCTGACCCACGGGCTCATTTTGTGGGTGCTGGGTTTCCGATAGTGTACGTTCAGTATGATGATCGTCACTATTACGGACAGGCCCACCAGAATCATCGTGAACAGCAGGTACTTGCCCAGCAACGGAAGCGCCAGCGACGTGGATGGTATGATCTCGGATATTAGGAGGAAAAACATCGTCTGCGACAGCAGAATGTTGATGCAAAGAGCGATCTTCTCGCCGGAGTCGGCGGGCAGGTAGAAGGCCAACACGGACAAATAGGAGATGCTCACGCACGGCACGATCAGGTTCACCGTGTAGAACAATGTTTTGCGACGTAACGTGATGTTGAAGAAGATGTCGGGATAGGGCTCGAGGCAACAGGGGTAGTACTTCTTGTGCCGTTCCGCTGGGACACCCAGTATATCCCATTCTACGCTGGGGTAATATTCGCGGAGATCGATGCCAACCTCTACTTTGTCGCCCATGTTCTGGTTAATGTGCTTCAAGTCGATCTGAATATAATAAGGAAAACTAGACCAGGGCTCGATACACCTTCTCCGAGTAACAAGATCAGTACATACGGAACATTTACATGTATCTCGGCGAGGATTAAAAGGTAAGAGGAAATACCAAAGAGAAAACTTGTACTGTTCAAGAGGACAGATGTGACAGTACAAGCAGATCTACTGTTTGGTATTATTTTCAAGGTCATTTGAAGGTCATAGTATTGTTGCGACAGTATGAAGATGCCGCACTATAGTTCCGTACAGTTAAATCGTTAAAAGTTAAAGTTTATTAATAAACGTTATATATAGTTTAACATGGATTCTCGTGTTTCAACCCCCCGGCGTAACAGTACCATGGGGTTAAAAGAACATCGAGGAACTTTGAATAACCTTGATAACGTTTACTCGTTGCCTACCTGAAAACCGTCGTAGGTCCACGAACCGAACTTCATGAAGCATGTTTGTTGATCGAACGGGAAGTATCTAACGTCTATCTCGCACGAAGACTTGAAAATCGCTGGTGGGGTCCAAAGAACTTTTCCAGTGTAATGTAGAATAGCTTTCGTCATTGTAGTGACTCCGTACTCTCCGTCGGCACTGAAAATGGAGTTGCAATGTATATTTAAATTACGTAACACTTTCCATTCGTACACCGTTTTAAACATCTTAACGATCACTCGAGCATGGGTCACTTACTTGTTGTAAAGGACAATGTCTGGAAGCCATATGTGTTCGCTGGGCACGTAGAGTTCAGTGACACCTCCGTATTCAGCCGGATCCCATTGAAACTTATGATCCTGCCATTCCTGTGGAAAGTTCGTCGTCGAGTTAAGCCAATATCCGCGAGACAAGTTATGTAATCAATTAGAAACTTACGTGTTCCAGCCAAACGTTCGTCGTGAGGATTTGATCCTTCAAATTCTGAAAATGTTCACGTTGAATGATTTGGACACGGAACGATTACTTACAATGTATTTAAAAAAAACAAAACAAAACATACGAGATCTATAAGTTGAGAAAGACGTAGTCCTAGTTTAACAACAACGGTGTCCGTATTGTTGGACACGGGGCGAATCAGCCGATTGTAATTCGACAACAGGTCGTCGTACAGTCTCTTCGCGTCGGGGTTGCTGTAGCATACCCCCACTGAGAGGATCAACACGATCGCTTGCGGTATCATTTCGAGTAAACGGCAGGCGTCTAGTTATTCACGAGTCCGATTGGGGCATCCTGTCCATCGCAAAAAAATTCCTCAACGATTAAAATCCTCCGCGACATCTTGCATAGTACGTCCTTAGTTTCAAGTGGTAGTTCAGTGGATTATGAACTTAATTCTGTTTATAGCCTGCTTACAACGCAGAGTGGATAACTTTAAGGCAAGCTCCAGTTTATTTTTTCGAGGAAATGTACATAATTAAACAAATCTGAAAGGTGTTTAATCATAAATAACGCCGAGTGGCAGCCTTCGGAAGAAAAGGAAGGTGGCTGGTGTCGATCGCAAACATTTCTAATTTCTATGAACATCGTTTACGAATATATTAAAATCATTTTCAGCAATCAACAAACTAGGATTCTGCCTCGGCTAAACTCCACGCTGCGAATTATGGAATTATGAACCTGTTGCGTTAACTGTCTTCCAGTTACGTTGATTTTTTCATGAAACGACCGGTTATTAAATTTAATTTGCACCGCGTAATGGTTGGAATAATCGATGTCTTTTGATCAGAATCGTTTGCAGTTCGAGGGTCCGAGCATGGCCGCACTTGGCGGTATTTACGCTCGGGATTTGAGATGCAGTTCAGTGTAACGTGTTTTCGAATTTTCTGTTTGACTGCAGTGCAATAAATTGCATCTTTATTGGCACGAGTGACTCTACTTTATTGATTTCATCGATTCTGAAGTCTCTGGTTGGATCAAGCGTGAAACCAATCTAGCCCTTTGACGACCACACGTTTCTTTTTTACAGTACGCAATTGGTGTGTCTATGATGGAAGCAAACGAAAATAGTCGGATGCTAAGAGTCCGTTTCGCAAATGTGAACATTAGAGTATTTGTTATAATAGCTGGACAAATAAGTAACTAAAATCATACATATCTACTCAATTTATCAAATTTTTTTTAAAAAATACAATTCGTAGTTTAGATTGCTCAAAATTGAATTTCCAAAGCACCACGTGGGATTTTTAATTAACCCCAGCCCTAAATTATTCAATTTGAATCATGTTGATGAAATAATCAGAAGATCCCTAATGGACCCCAGTCGTCTAAGGGTTAGCTTGCTTCGGAACAGTTCCAGACTTTGACCAAGAGGTTTCAGACGCCAATAGTGTTCCGTACAATTTTCCCCGTAAATGCAATTTTTGACAACCTTCCTCCCCCTCCCGATCCCTTCAAGCGTCGAAAGGGATTCGAGTCACAGACGTTCGTTTACAGATTAATGTTTACAACGGAGTTCAATGATTACGTACTTGCGATCGGGTTCTCTTCAGGCTCCCTGCGGATCACGATGCCTAAGGGATCTGATCTCGTGTCCTCCCAGGGTTATCATAATCTATCTCGGTCCGTTCGAGCCTCTGTGGCACGCAGACCGATCGGGAACGCGACGAGGAATCGATGCGTCGACTCGCATTACTCACGCGTCTCGTCTCGCTCGCGTAAATGCCAGGAGAGCGCAGAACAGAAATGACATTGTGTACAGCCAATGGACCACTGGATGATGTTACGTGCATCTCAGATTTTGCGGGATCAATACACCATTGCGCATGCACCGGCCGCGGGGTGCCTGCGCGTTGTGAACGTGCCTTTATGGCGCAGGCCCTGTTCGTTGCACTCGACGGGCTAGAGAAAAACGTCTCTCCGCCTCCTCGTTGGGGGGTGGGGGCGCTCCTACGCCCTTTCCAGCGAGCTACCCTTAGCTAGACCTGGATCAAATTTTTACACCGATCCCCGTGCATCTTTTTCAACTGTTTCTTCGCGCTATCGTTCCCTTCAGTCGACTCTAGCCTAGGGGCGGAGAACCTCTTGGCGTTGGAAGGCTGCGTATCGCTTCACAGACTCCTCGTGAAGTCACACGCTTCACGTGGAATCATTTTTTCCTAAATTGTGGAGAGATGACTAGATATAAATTAAAAACTCTTGGATGACCTGTATATGAGAGGAAGATCATTCATTGAAAATAATTCATTGGTTAACACGTTGGCTGCCAGACTAAAACTCGTGAAAATTTCGACGGAGTTAAAATGTCTCGAGGCTATCAAAGATTAGAGAACTTAAGACTCGTCCCAGTATTTAATTTTTGTAACCTCATCAAATTCACGGATCTCATACAGATTTTTTTTTCATTACCTCCTCAGCTTCGAAATTAATTTTTTTAGTTCCTTAATGAACAGTCCTGTCACCAATATCTGGGCGACGTGGCGACCAACGTGTTAAAAAAGAAAATATTAACATCTTAATATTGTGACTTTGAGAGTACAATTAACTAATCATAATTACAATATTGACTGATTTCTACCGCGGAATGTCGTTCATGTTATAATTGTAATACATCATGTGTTACTTCGAGAAGATAATTGTTCTGTATTAAAAAATAATCTTGAAATCCAGCAACATTGCAATGTGCAGCACGTATGAAGGGGTTTATGAAACTCCCTAGGGAAATTCTACGCCAAATTGGACACTTGTTGAGGTAATATTTTGAAGTTTCTTGAAACTTGGATACGTTGTAGTCTTCAGTGACGTTTAAACGTGCCTCGAAGGATTTTTCGTAAGTTTGAATTGGCGTTAGCTTTTCTAAAATAAATTACAGCTGTTGAAGCGCCAGCTCGTACAAGCTACTGCCAGATACAGAATATCTCGCCTGCGTGTGTCCCGATTCTTCGGTAAGGAATTAAATTTGATTTCGAGCTCAACGTGCGATTTTAGTTTTTGTTTAGCCAGTTGGCTTCAAAAGTTTGTTTTTAGGGTAATTCCGTGTCGTAGGTCTTTACTCTTGCGTGATGATAAACGGGATTATTTTTCCGGGTTTCGTCGTTGCGAAGCACTACTAAACTCGTGAGGGAACCACTTTCGTGCTCCGGGGACAGGGGTAACTGCCCTCTTCTCTTCATACGGATGCACGTGCATACTAATGCATGTTATAGTTCCCCCTTAAGTACTCCTGTTTTTTTATATTTCTTTTTTTTTTTTCATATATTCAAATATTAACGAGATCCCGAGTCGCTGGAAGCTCGCGTGTACGAGAATTATAGTGTCGCTAAAATATTCGATGCTTCGCGAGCATTATTTTTTTAAGTAGCCAACGCTCTCGACGAGGGACGGCAGAAAAGCGTAGCGCTTTTTAAACCCCACCGAAAATGGGGTCAGAGAACGCGTTCGTTTAACGAGAATCAATTCTGCGGCATATATTATTCCGCGACTCGATCAGATATTAATATATTAATTTGTAGGTTAATAAAACGGAAATATTGGTGGACGGGGACGAAGTAATATTTGCATTGCACATTCTCATCTCAAAGGATCGTCCACGCTGGACCAAATTGTAATCGTCCCAAGCATTTGCGAGCAAGCAACTAAATTTTTAATATAACCATGAGATCGTTCTACTCCTCTACATTATCTTCAACTCAATAAATATATTTCCTAGGTCACGATTAAGATTGTTGTCCCAAAAAATATTCAACGCTGAGTCAAAAACATGTATTAAAGTGTTCGAGAGGGTCAAACAACGAAACATTAATTTATACAAGCCAAAGTTCCTGAAGAGGACCCTCCTAAAAATGGTCGAAATATATGAGGTGCTCAAGCGCTCCGAAATTCCTACGCTTCGTGTATTCCAAGGAACACTTTCAACTAGCGCACAGTTTTCAATTGTACTGATGCAAAATTCATTCCTCGAAGTGGGTCCCCTTCAGGATGTACGGCCTTTATACGCACCGGGGTTGGGACGCGTTTACGTTCGCATGTTTACGGGAATTCGTTAACACAGCCAGCACCGTCCTCGGCCAATACCATTTTTCTCGACGACGGAAACGAGCCGTTACACGTCCGTACATTATAGAGCACTTTATCCTTACATGCTAGCCGTTTTCTTGCGCTTATATCCCCCGCCTGGGCTCATCCCGATGCGCTCGCGGAGCTCGATGATAAACGTGACTGTTTTTCCGGGTTTCTTCGTCACGAAGCCTGGGGAGGAAGGCTGCAGTGGCACTTTCCACCGCGGAAGGGTAGCTTCGCTCTGGAAGCCTCGCGTGCCTCTGTGTGTGCGTGTATGTGCGCGTGGATCGTATCATGCAAGCTCACAGCGACACGTTCAGGAGTGTGAGAGGGAGCGGTGCATCTGGTTGTGTCGAGGAATATGTTCTGTACGGAGGTGCATTGAAATGCGTTGCAGGTCTCCGCACCCCTGCGCTCCCTTGCGCGCTCTCTCTCTCTCTCTCTCTCTCTCTCTCTCTCTCTCTCTCTGTCTCTCTCTGTCTCTCTCTCTTCGTTTTCCACGCTTGCTTAGCTACTCGAAGTGTTAATGCCAAGATCCTGGGCCAGTAAACCATGGCGAAATTTACGACGTTATATTTTTCGTTCAACGGCATTACACCCGCCCGAGCAAAAGGGAAGAAACCGAGGACGATTTAGGGCCACCGAACATTCCGCGTATCTGTAGCTCGACGACTTAAAAAGGATCCCAGAGGGAATGGTCTGATGGCAGACTGCAGGGGAGGGATGACAAGGGCTGGCGTCGTATTTTAGGAATTAATCCTTTTACGTATGATTTTATTTTATTTTTCAATTTGAATGCGAGAAATTTTATTTGCACTTTTTAGATTTTTTATTTTGACAACATTGATATTATTCAATATTTATTTTATCTATTAGAACCGTTTTGTGATTAATATTTTTATAATATTAGGGCGAACCAAAAGTTTGTGCGGTTGTTTCAGTTTGTGCAATTTTTTGAAGTCATTAAAATTATTTTATATACCAGTGTCATATATCATTTCGAAGCTTTTGGTTCATCCTTAGGAAGGATAGAATGTTATCTCAATAATAGATAAAGTATTGGTTGTCCTAGAGAAAAGTTTATTAACAGGCTACCGGTCGGTGAAGTGTTAAGATCATTTATTAATTAGATAAATAATTAGTTGGTGGTAGGGCGAACGCGGTAGAATTTCAAGTGGGGTTGCAACACGTAATCCAGCGTTACAACTTTGGAAGAACTACGTAGTTTCTTTTCTTGTTTGTTTCCTTTCGCTAACTTTCTTGTTACAATGGAGAACGCAGTTTCTACAGGGTGCTCTCTTTTTATGGGGCGGAATAAAGCCAGGACAATGCTTCTCAGTCAGTCTTAGTCAACAGTTTCAATATTCTTACAAAACTGAAGTCATTTTTTCTACTTACCTTAGTATTAAATAAAATATAATAGGTATCATAAACACGAAAATACAACAAGAAGATTACGACAATTGCGTATGTTATCAAAATAAAAACAATTGCAAATCACCTGTACAAGTTACCTTTGGTAGTCTACGAAATAACGTCTCCTTTTATATAGATTTAACGTCACATCAACATCTTAATTGGTAAACATCTTATCATTTATCGAAAGAGGGGAGGGACGTTTGTTCAGTATCTGTTTAACATCAGAACAGAGGAACGCTCTGATCAGTTTTGCGGCTGATCCTCAAAAGTGTTTCGCAAAATTTCGGTCTCTCGGTCGAAGCAATGGTTTCTGGATTGTTCGCGAAATTCGTCGCGTTGGAAAGCTCGTACTGACAAGACTGATAAGTATTCGCTGCTTGGAAAAGAGTCTACAGTGGCACTGTTTCCTCGTGAAATATGCATCTGGTTAAAAGCCCGGTCTATGTGTGTGAACGCGTCCAGGGAGAAAAGGGTCTTACCTGGAGGCACCGCAGAGTATTTTACACTTTATGCCCCGCACTTTCGTACGACTGTCCTAGAATAGAATAGAAATGCTCTACGATGACGCTCGTTGGGTTAGGTTCGATGTTTCTTTCTCGTTCAGAGAGATTACAATTGTTCCTCTGTACCATCTGTCATTTTAAAATTTAGTATGCTTGCCCATGTTTTCGATGAAACAAACAAATTAAAATTTTTTGTTTGGATTCTCTCATACTATAGCCTTTTTAAAATGCAATTAAACATTTTTATTACAAAAATACACAAGTGTAAAAATATTAATCACCACTAAAAGCTCCAGTTATTCAACCCAAGACTCGTGCCATCGATTACGTCCTACAGCAACAATTCTCCCTGTCGATTTCGTTAATTGCGCGAACGTGTCCACAATTTGCACCTGACGTCAGCTTCGTTTCTCCGAGTGACAGGGCCGCGGGTATAACAGATAAAAACGGGTCAAAGGGAACCGTCGCGTACGTCTACCTCCGTCGGTTGAATTATTAATCGGAAAGTGCTTCTGGAATTTCGTTTCGAGCGGTGTTTCTTGAGCGCGGGTAGCGCGTTTGAAATTTCTGCCAGGAGAGCTAAGCGGGTTACCGTGCGGGACGGAGACGAACCCGAGTGGAGCCTACCAAAGCAGGTGGAACCAGATGGACGAGGAATGGCGAGGATAGAGGAATAGGGAGCGACGGAGAGGAATAATAGACACATTGTGAATACGGAGCTTCAGAGAGAGGGGTGGACTAAGGGGTAGCCAGAATCGGGATATACCTCGAAAGTGGTTGGTTCTTGGAACGTAGCGGTAATTAATGTGGTCTCACGCATC